ACTACTACTACTACTACTACTACTACTACTACTACTACTACTACTACACTACTACTACTACTACTACGACTACTACGACTACTACGACTACTACGACTACGACTACTACTACTACTACTACTACGACTTCTACCACTACCACCACGACTACTACTACCACAACTACTACTACGACTACCACTACCACTACCACTACAACTACCACTACCACTACCACTACCAGTACCAGTACCACTACCACTACCACTACTACTACTACTACTACTACTACTACTACTACTACTACTACGACCACGACCACGACCACGACCACGACCACGACCACGACCGCGACCACTACCACTACCACTACCACTACCACTACGACTAGTACTCCCACTACCACTACCACTACTACTACTACTACTACCACTACAACTACTATACTACTACCACCACTACCACCGAGCAACCGGGGAGCAGAGAGAGGCAAAATCACAGCTTTGGGTGGTCGTGGGCTGCTTTTGTTCTTTGCAAGGCAAAAACACAGTTTTGGGCTGCGAAACTGTGTTTTTGCCTTTCAAAGTAACCAGAATGCCCCACCACCACCCGAAACAGGGATTTTGATTTTTGTCTTTACGACGACGACGACTACTACCACTACCAGTACCACCGAGCAACCGTCGAGCAGAGAAAAGCAAAATCATAGTTTCGGGTGGTCGTGGGGCTGCTTTTTGAGCTTAGATAGTGGTGTGGGAACCGGATCCTTGGGGTACCAAGAGTTCTCCAAGGGGATATCGGGATATAGCTCATATTTGTCCATGCGTTTCTAATACTTAGATCTTAGAGGAACAAATGCAGATTCGGTGAAGAAAACAGTCCTTGTTGCCGGGAAAAAAGGTTGGCTGCCAGAGGGGCGTTCGAGACATGGTTGAATCAACCGATGGAGACGTGACATAGCTTGTTATTGGATGGGGAAGTGTGGGCAAGGAACCCCAAAGTGAGTGTTTGCTTGGGTGTGACAGTTGCACTTTTAAGAGGGCCTGACATGTGTCTAGGCTGGCTTTCGTCTCCTCCCTTCTCAGGTTTGTATATGTTTTTTGGTTCGGTCGAATGTTCCATCTTCTGGACATGAAGTCGGGTGCAAGGTAGGTGTCGGGCGCAGGATTCTGTTAGACAGGCTGTCTTTTCATGGTGGGCCAACCAGAGAAAGGTCAACCAGACAATGATTCGCGATGACTTCAGTACGGGCGCAGCGCCCACTAGGTTCTGAAGGCAGAGATGCATGACATATACACGCATGCGCTTGCCGTTGAGTGCGAAGAGGAATGAGGAGTGAGGAGAGGAGGAAGAACGTGTTGGATTGCGAAAGCATCGGATTGAAAGCGGCTAAAGCGTGCACGCGGCTAAAGCGGCTAAAACGTGCTCGTCCGGCTTTCCTCCCCCTTTGTAGACTGTAGACGTTTTGACTACTCTTTAGACTCTGGCTCTGGACCATTCTATTTCGTGTCTTCCCTTTCCCAGCTATGCCTATGTGGTATTTTTCTTGCTTCTGTCTAGCTTTCGCGTCGAAATGCAGAGCAACGTCATGCCATGCAGCGACACGTTCGCTTTTCGGACCTTGGGCTCGTACAGCGACCGACGGGACGGGACTCTCCGCTGGTTTTGGGGGAAGAGGGTGACTTCGTCCTCACAAACCCAGCGCTGCCCGGGAACGAGGCGGTGGCTTGGGCAGCGCCACATGAGAACTGATTTGTGTGTTTCTGATGGCCCTGTTCTTTTTCAGTATCACTGCCGCAGGGAGTTGGTTGGGTTCAACGCAGCTGTTTCATTCGGAAGAGCTGACCAACAAGAGTAAGAGAGCGCTAAACAGAACTCAAAATCTTTCCCTTTGGGGCCGGACATGTGCTCCAATAATACATACTACCCAAACCCTCCATGGGACTAAACCAATTTTCATTGACCCAATTTAATAACGACCTCAACAACCTAAGGTAAATATGCCAGTCTCATGGAATGTTTGGAGTATCAAGTGGTCCCAGAATGTCCTAAACGGCATGGCTTGAGACACACGAGGGTAGGCTTCAATGGTCAAGTTTGCCTCAAGTCCTTGCAGTGTGGAACACCCTGAATATCGCGAAAACAAATCAATATTAAATGCATTTGTTTGTATATGGGTTTTCACCAAACAGTTTACTTTTAGGGGTTCTCAATTCTTTCTTAAGAGGTGTCTCGGTGTCTGCCCTTTCTGTCACTGCTGGTGTCCACCCTTTTCCGCTGGCCATGCAGAATTTCCATTCATTTGTTTCCCAGGTTCGGTGCCTGTACTGCTGGTGTCCGCCCTTCTCCGCTGGCCATGCAGAATTTCTATTCGTTTGTCTTCCGCTGTCACGGCTGGTGTCCGCCCTTCTCCGCTGGCCATGCAGCATTTCTATGAATTCATTTGTCTTCCACTGTCACTGCTGGTGTCCGCCCTTTTCCGCTGGCCATGCAACATTTCAATTTCTATTCTTTGTCTCCCATGTTATTCTTTTACTTTTCTCTCCCGAGTTTGGTGCCTGCACGGCTGTCCGCCCTTTTCCGCTGGCCATGCAGCATTTCTTTGCATTTGTCTCCCAGATGATCTCTTTACTTTTGTCTCCCAGGTTCGGTGCCTGCAATGCTGGTGTCCGCCCTTTTCCGCTGGCCATGCAGCATTTCTATTCATTCATTGGTCTCCCTGTCACTTCTGGTGTCCGCAATTTTCCTGTGGCCACGCTGCATGTCTATTCATGTGTCTCCCACTGTCACTGCTCGTATCCGCCCTTTTCGTGGTGCAGAGTCTCTTCCTTCTTCCAATCCCTCGTAGCACAGAATCCTTCTTAAAGCCCTCGTAGCGCTCGTAGCACAGAATCCTTCCTATGAGCCCTCGTAACACAGAGCCCTTCTTATTAAAGGCCTCGTAGCACAGGACTGAACCCTTCTTATTAAAGGGCCTTGAAGAAGGATGACTGCAAAATCACAGTTTCGGGAGGGCCTTGAAAAAGGATGACTGCAAAATCACTGTTTCGGGTGGTTGTGGGGCTGTTTTTGTTCTTTGAAAGGCAAAAGCACAGTTTGGGGCTGCGAAACTGTGATACTACTACTACTACTACCACTACTACCACTACCACTACCACTATGACTACCACTACCACTATGACTACCACTACCACTACCACTACCACTACCACTACCACTACCACTACCACTACCACTACCACTACCCGCCCGTCATCACCCAAGCCAAGTTGCTGCACCAGGTGGAACTAACGAGGGGAGACGTTATTTTCCAAACCGTATATAACGAGGCGAGGTGCTAAACCCTGGGATGCGAATTCCAAAAAGAGGGAGACGAGGTAAGAGTTAATGTAATTTGCGGAGATGATGTTCAGTCTGCCGGTTTATCAGCCAAACAACAGCTGCATATCATCTCTCAAGCTTCCGGACTCATCGGCTGGATACGGTTGAGGTCTTCTGCTGCATTCTTGATGGATCACAACGCTTTTGCCAGAGATGCTCGGCTTCGAGGGGTTTTCTCTAGAAATCGATTTGACTCGGCGATGCGAGGGCAGATGGCCCCGCCACAAGTGCAGTCTGGAGCCGTTTTTGCGTAGCAGACAGCATAGATGAGGGTTCCACCAAGTCTAGGATTTCAAAGCTTTGGGTATGCAGAAAGTGTGTTGGTTGGAACTAACGGTTGTCCCATCCATCCTTGCGTGCACTTGGGCCTGCACGTCTTGTTTGGGAATTCATTTAGGGAAACCCGCTCTGACGGGTCTGCCCGAGGATACCACCATCCTCTCTGGGGCGGCGGGGCTCCAAGCCTGCGAGCGATTTTGGTCCGAATCGTTGATGAAGAAACCTATCAGAAGAACAAAAGAAAGGTCCAATGTTTTTTAAAGGTCTTCAAAAGAAATAGTTATAAAATATAGATTTAAGAAAAGACACGAAAAAAGAGAAGCCCATGAAAAGGGTCATAACCTCTTGGGATGGGCATGATAAAATGTGTTTGTCCATGTTTCGCGCTGTTTTGGTATGAGCTGGCAAATGCCCCGGATGTAGATCGTGGAGGCGCTTTCCAAAACTGGGGAAACTCAAGGGACGCACTTTTGAAACCAACCCTCCAATCGTCCGTTGAGACCAGGACTTGACGGACTGGTTTTTCGCGATGTCGAGCCAATGACTAATACATTGGCAGAATTAACATTGCCCTGAAGAAAGATGAGGGATTTAACAAGAGGATGTGTCTTGCATTGTGTTATATAATATATGTCAGGCTGCAATTGTGGCTGGGCCACCTTTGCAATTGACAGCGAGTTGCTGTTTAGATTAACAGCACGGCAAAATGCCCAAAACATGACTAGAATGCTTAAACTTGTTCAAGGACCAGTATGTGCCTCACAGCAAAGCCCCACAGGTAGGGTAGTCAGTTGTCACCTCCGATACTGCGGCCTTTCCCTCTGAACGATACAGGAAGCTTCTTCTTTCCATAACCTATTCCGCAGGTTCCTATTTGTGGATTGTAGACCGCAAATTGCTGACGAACATCGTACAATGAAAAATCCCAGAGGGACATGGCCAAAAGCCTTCTGAGATGGAAGTTCACCCTGGACAGCGACTGCTCAAAAATTGTACCAACGTTCGGTGTGCAGTCTTTGATCAGTCCTGACAGATAGCCACTGAGAATTGATGGAGAAGACGGCCGATTTGGTGGAAGACCTGACAGTTCTGAGTGAACAGTTTCTGGTGACTGGAGCTTCAAACTTTTTCTTTTCATACATAGGTTTTTTGGAAGCAAACATGAATGCGTTCTGAAGCAGTGTTACCACAGAAATTTGATCTGACGGCCGCACGGCAGGCTGTTGCAAGTCAGTACTTCATCTATGCACAGGCGGGTCACCTTCTCCGAAAAGAATTCCTTGCTGCGAACAGCTTTGTGATGCGAGGTTGCTTTGGGCGGCCTGGGCGGTTCTAAGCTTCTTCAGAACAT